TGCAATATCGGCCATAACAACAATCGCGTATCGTCCTGAAAAAGCAACACTGTCTGAATGTTACACATGTACTCCAAACCGGTACCCGGACTATCCGACGTAAACTGGTCGGCAATCGTCAAAAATTTTAAACTGTTTGTCTTCAAGCACTGGCCAGTAGCCAAAATGCAGGATTTGATCAACTGCACTAGCAATCATCCACCTGTGAGAGCTTTGATGGTACTATCTACTGAAATCTGCTTGGGGAGTAAGCAGGACGCAAATATTAAATTGTCAAAGACGTTCTTATCAATCTGCTGTCAAACCAGAACAAAGGAGACGGCTTTCAAGCAATATTCTTTCAGATGACTACATTATCATTTGTTTTGAAAGTCTCATAATGATAAGGAACTACAGTAAGGAAACGGTGATGCACACAGAGCAGAGGGAGGGAGGAAGAGAAGGAATGCGATGCACGCGCTTTTGCGTTTAAACACAGTGTAAGTTTCTATAACATCACTACGATAAAGCGCCTACATTTAAGCAGTCTTAATGGAGTGGACTCAACAACTGCATAAGCATGGGATAAATAAATGGCCAGCGCGCCTACTGCCGGTGCGAAGATGCGTTTTTTCCCCGCAGTTTTTGGCGCTAACGGCACTGTTTTCCCGGTAGATCTCCCAGCTAACAGAATTGAGACTGGCCGCAACGGCTGCCTGAAAACATTCCCTCAAATTTTCAACTTTCTAGCTTTTCAGGTCCCCAACTTAGCCACTTACTAGCAAAAAACTTTCACAGGCCCGTATGTGGAAAAAACGCACTGGGCTTGAACTCATTAGGACTTATATGGTTGAGTAACATCCCCTTGAAATTTCAGTTTTCTAGATTTTCTGATTCACGAGTTAGCGGCTTACCCGCCAAAAACTTTCATGAGTTCGTACATGGGAACCATATGGGTAAGAGCGCTCATTATGAGGACTGGAGCCCATACGTGCATGTAGATTAAGTCCCCAAAGTTTCACCCCTGTAGCTTTTACAAGTCTTGAGATGAAAAACTGGCAGAGACGCAAGACACACAGACACATAGGAGCGCAGACATACAGACACACACACACACAAACAAACAACTCCTCGATAATAGGCGTTTTTGCATTGCACAGACGCAAAAAAAAACCTTAAAAATGGAGAAAATAACCGTAGCTGGCCAAAAAAAAAAATCAA